TCCAGCCTGGGATAGTATACACCTGGCTCATGTGCCTCATTTTTTTTTTTAAGATTTTATTATTTATTTGACAGAGAAGGAGAGAGAGAGCACACGAGCAGAGGGAGAGGGAGAAGCAGACTCCCTACGGAGCAGGGAGCCTGATGCAGGACTCGATTCCAGGACCCTGGGATCATGACCTGAGCCAAAGGCAGACGCTTAACGACTGAGCCACCCAGGCGCCCCTCATGTGCCTCATTTTGTTTCCTGAGTCACCTATAGGTGACTTTTTTTGAGTCTGTGGTCACTGAAGGCTTTCTGCAGTAGGCTGAATGATGGCCCCCAAAGATAGCCAGATCCTAATCCCTGAAACCTGTGAATGTTACTTTAAATGGTGAAAAAGCTTTTGCAGATGTGTCTGAATTAAGGCTCTTGAGGAGAGGATCCTGGGTTATCCAGGTGTGACTTATGTAACCACAGGTTTCCTTATAAGAGGGAAGCAGAGGCAGACTTGAACCCAGGGATGGAAGGTAGTCAGTGACTGAAGTAAAATTCTATGCTGCTGGCTTGGAACGTGAAGGCTAGAACCACACGCCCGGGAACACAGCTCTATGAACCTGGAAAAAGCAGCGACGCAGTCTCTTCTGGAGGAAACACAATTCTGCCGACTCCTTGGTTTCTGCACAGCGAAACTGCTTTTGGACTGCTGGCCTCTAGAACTGTAAGAGAATAATTGTGTGTTGTTTTTAAGCCCCTTGTCACGGCAGCCTTAGGAACTTGGTACATCTTCTTGTACCTGAGAACAAACTAATAATCTCTGCTTTTGTCCCCGGCCCTCTCTACTTTTCTGAGACTTACCTGACCCTGAGGTAAGGAAGTCCTTGCACCTTGGTAGTCTAGTGACTAGCCTGAGGAGGGCAAATGAGACAGGAGGTACTTAGGGGAAGATGGTGGCCATCTTCCAGCATCCTGGGCTCTGGCAGACCTGAACTTGGGTTTTGAGGGAGATACACAACACATCCCACAGTGGGCAGTAGAAAACTCTGATGGCATGGGTTACCTGAAGGCTGAATTTCCAGAGTCTCCCTCCTGTGATAGCCTTGTAGATGTTTTAGTTTGTCCCAGTATTTCTCCCTGCCTCTTCTCTTTTGGGGAACTTTGCCTCCCCATTTTCATGTAGTCCTGGAAACTGAGCCCATTATAAGCCCCCACTCTTCAAGGAACCAGGCCATCCTGATGATTCTCTGGGGGTACTGGTTCTCAAACTAAATTGTGCATCAGAAGCATCTAGAGGGATTGTTAAAACACACATTGTTGGGGTTGCAGCCCCAGAGTTTGACTCCGTGGTCTGGGCTGAGGATTTGCGTTCCTAACAGGTTCCCAGGTGATGCTGGTCAGGGGGCCACACTGAGAAGCTCTGCTCTGGGAATTTGAGCCTTAGAAGATGGAAGACAGGTGGTGACGTCACCTAAAACATGGCTCATGACTTCCTGTAATGAAATCCCTGGATCTGATCTGATTCTGGGCATTCTGAGGATCTGGTTATCTTTCGTTTTAACTTTGTGACCCATTCTGAGTTCAATTGCTTCTTGCTTAAACTAGCAAGACTTGTAACCAAAGAATTTTAATGGCTTGAATTTGCAAGGAACACATGATACAGAATAAAGGTAGGTCTCGTGGAACACCAGACTTATGGAGCACATTTTGGATGTAATCTCTGCAGGCCAAGACTTATTAGTATGGATCCTAGCCAGCATTTACTGAATGCCTACTGTGTGCCTTACAGGCGCTAGCTTTATAAACCTCTATCAGCCTTACAGTCACTCTGAAGGGAAGGTATTTTCTTTAAATTTTTTTATTATGTTAATCACCATACATTACATCATTAGTTCTTGATGTAGTGTTCCATGATTCATTGTTTGTGCATAACACCCAGTGCTCCACGCAGAACGTGCCCTCTTCAATACCCATCACCAGGCTAACCCATCCCCCCACCCCCCTCTCCTCTAGAACCCTCAGTTTGTTTTTCAGAGTCCATCGTCTCTCATGGTTCGTCGCCCCCCTCCGATTTTCCCCCCTTCATTCTTCCCCTCCTGCTATCTTTTTTTTTTTTAACATATATTGCATTATTTGTTTCAGAGGTACAGATCTGTGATTCAACAGTCTTGCACAATTCACAGCGCTCACCATAGCACATACCCTCCCCAATGTCTATCACCCAGCCACCCCATCCCTCCCACCCCC